ACCATAACATCACAGCTCACAGCAACCTCCAACTCCTGGGCTCAAGCGAGTCTCCTGCCTCAGCCTCCCAAGTAGCTGGGACCACAGCCACCTGCCACAATGCCCAGCTGTTTTTTGGTTGCAGCTGTCGTTGTTTGGTGGCCAGGGCTGGATTCGAACCCGCCACCTTAGGTGTATGTGGCTGGTGCCTTAGCCACTTGAGCCACAGGCGCCGAGCCTCAGTTCATTTTCATTTAGCGTCTTCCCGAGGCTGTCAGGGGCTGGTGTTAGGGTGCCACTCGCCAGTCCCTTGTGTCCCAGCTGGGAAGTTCAAAGCTGCCCCTGGAAGTGGACTGGACAGTAGCTCCCAAGAGATGTGTCCACCTAGGCCCTGTGAGTACAACCTTATTTGAATCTTTGCAGTTGTTTCGGTTTTTGGTTTTGGGGGGGAGCAGTTGGGACAGAGTCTCACTCTTCTACCCTGGGGTAGAGTGCCCTGGTGTCATTGCTCACAGCAACCTCAAACTCTTGGGCTTGAGCAATCCTGCTGCCTCAGCCTCCTGAGTAGCTGGGACTACAGGCACCCACCACCATGCCCAGCTAATTTTTCTATTTTTAATAGAGACAAGGTCTTGCTCTAGCTCAGACTGGTCTTGAACTCCTGAGCTCAAGCAATCCACCCACTTTCGTCTCCCAGAGTGCTGGGATAAAGGCCAAAGTCTTTGCAGGTGTAATCGAGGCTTTCAAGATCATCCTGGATTAGGGTGGGACCTAAACCCAGTGACAAGTGTCTTTAGGAAGGGAAGAAAAGAGAGTAGGCATGGGAAGACAAAACTCCAGAAGCTATTGTTTGGGAATCCATCCATGTAAAGAAACTGAGGCTGCAGTTTACAAAGAGTTGGAGATAGTGGTTACTCCTGGGACAGGAGAATGATCTGTCACAGGGAAAGGCATGTCTTGTCACCTGAGTAACCGCCTCAAGGAGGGCCTTGAGATAGGGAGATTAACCTGGAGTATTTGGGTGGCCCCTCCTGGCCTCAAGTGATCCTCTTGTCTCAGCCTCCTAAAATTCTGGGGTTACAGGCATGAGCCATGATGCCTGGCCTCTGGAACCTTTATTATACTGTCAGCTTATTTTGGAAAAAACTGTCTGGGCCAGGTGCAGTGACTCACACCTGTAATCTCACCGCTCTGGGAGGCCAACACAGGTGGATCCCTTGAGCTCAGGAGTTCAAGACCAGCTTGAACAAGAGTGAGACCCCATCTCTACTAAAAATAGGAAAATTAGCTGGACGTGGTGGGTACGTGTTGTCCTAGCTACTCAGGAGGCTGAGCAGGAGAATTGCCTGAGCCCAAGAGTTTGAAGTTGCTGTGAACTATGATGATGCCATGACACTCTACCCAGGACAACAAAGTGAGACTCTATCTCAAATAAATAAATAAAAGAATATCCGCAGGTGTGATTAAAATGAAGTATTTGAGATGTAGAGGTTATCCTGGATTATCAAGATATGCCCTAAATGCCACACATGTCTTTATAAGAGACAGAGGAAGAATTAACACCCAGGAAGACAGATTGGAGCCATATAGCCTTGGCCAAGGAGTCACAGACATGAGGAGAGGCAGGAGGGATCCTCTTCTGGAGCCTCCAGAGGGAGCAATACCCTGATTTCATCCCAGTGATGCTGTTTTAGGATTTGTGGCCTCTAAGACTGTGACAGAAAACATTTCTGTTGCTTTAGGCCACTAAATTGTGGCATCTCCTTACAGCAGCCACAAAAAAACAAAATAATATGCAGAGATCTTTGTAGATGAGTACGTAAGTATTTATATTCATAATAGCATTATTGTTCATTAAGATATACATATATGGGCTCAGCGCCTGTGGCTCAAGCCGCTAAGGCGCCAGCCACATACACCTGAGCTGGCGGGTTCGAATCCAGCCAGAGCCTGCCAAACAATGATGGCTGCAATAAAAAAAAATAGACAGGCTCAGCGCCTGTGGCTCAAGCCGCTAAGGCGCCAGCCACATACACCTGAGCTGGCGGGTTCGAATCTAGCCAGAGCCTGCCAAACAATGATGG